ATCCCTAGGGGAAGTAAATAGGATGCCCCCTCCCTCCCGTGGTTTTCATTGTTTTCTTCCTCTAAGTTCACAGTTCCTGGTGACCCATAGTGTGAGACCTAGGGAACACCGGACCATCTATTTACTCATTGAGTACCATGCTACTTGCTTGGCATGTACTCAACTCTTGTATGAAGGGTCCACCGTTAAACCATGCTGAGCTGCTGAACATTTGTTTCCCAGAAATCTCAAGTTTCCTATAGCCGTGAGTTTGGTTGAGATAGAGTCATGTGGACGGGTCCAGACCTGGAGCCCCAGACACCATGTAACTTTGACCTTTCACGTAGCTCAGCCAAGCTGTCCTGGTCATGACCGCTTTTGACCCACATGTTGACATCTATAAGTGGAACATTGCTCTCAGCCTTGAAAGTTCTTTGAAGGAACCACCCGGAATCCCGCGGCTTCCTCTATTTGAGATGCTCTTTGTTTGATGCGGTGTGCACCCTTCCGTCCGTACATTGGTTGCAGTTGTGGTGGTGGTAGTATGTAGTATGTAGCCATAGTAGTACCTAGCAAGGAGCAGGAGTAGGAGTAGGAGCAGGAGCAGCAGCAGCAGCAGGAGGAGGAGGAGTAGTAGTAGTAGTAGCAGTAGCAGTAGTAGTAGTAGTAGTAGTAGTAGCAGTTGTTGTTGTTATTGCTGTTGTTCCACCAGCGCCACGCTGTCAGACCACATGGCGACGTGAGAGACACGCGTCCCTGGGCGACAAATGACCAACAAGTTGGACGTTGCTGCGAGCTACGTCGGGTGGTTGGACGGTGGAGAGTCCAAAACGTCGTGCTTTGGAACATCATGACGGGCAGTTGCATGCTTACATGTTCGTTTTTATGTTGACCTGTTTTTGAAGAACGTTTGCCTACTTGGATGGGGTTCCAGTTTGCCTATAGTTTTGGTTTGTTCCTTGTGGAATTAGGTGCAGTGCTTGCGAGATTGGAACATAGGTCGGTCGAAATGGCGTGGTAGACCTGGCAAGTGGTGATCCTCTCGACGGAAGAAGATCCAGGTGTTCCTATCTCTCAAAGATGCACATGAGTGGCATTCCGAATCTCCTCCCAGAGAAGGAAGCATGCAAGTCTACAGAAAAGGTCTTCAACGCATTGGCAGCCCCCCGAACAAGCAACAAAAACAGAGAGGAGTTGCTCTACAGCAATTCCTTTACACTTCCAGAACCCCTTCCTACTGGCCCCTTCACACTGGCAACCTGGTGGCATTCTTTTCATTGCTCCATTGTTATCTTGGTCCATTTGAGCCGCCAGATGTCTCCACTTTCGGGGAATATAGATAATAGAGGTTCTTCCTGGCATGCAAACCCGAAGCCGAGGCAGAAAGCAACATGTTTTGCGTCAATACGTGCGGAAGATCCAGCTAGCTATATTCTTAGTTTGGCTGGTACCTTAGTCCAGCTACACCTGCCCAAGGCGCCCACGAGAGCCAGTGGAGGCGGTCTGGCAGGCGGTCTGGCTTGGACAGAGCTTGGACAGCCATGTCCGAAGAAATCAGTTGTCAGGCACGAAACTTTTCCAAGATGTTGGTCCTCCTAAACATGAACGAGCGAGAGCTTCCCTGGCAGTGGAATCTACCAGTACATCTACCATGATTCATGTGATAGTTTTGCAATCGTCACCTCCTGCTTGGAGCATTTGTTTGCTGCCTGTGTTTTGCTGTTTGTCCCGAGAAACGTTGATGAGGTGGTTATGAGGCAAGGCGATGAAGGGAACACATGTTCCGATCCAGATGAACCGCCCTCCTACAAGCGGAAAGAGCATCATGTTGAAGCCAACTCCCATGATCCGTGGCTTAAAGAAGATATGGAAAGACATGTGTTCTGTGTTTTTGGTTTCTTAAGTGCTTTTCCATCCCTAGACATCCGATTCGATGAACGTTCGCTGTTTCACAGCCGATCCGGACCTACCCGCGCCGCGCCCGGCCGCGGCCCGCCCCGCGGCTTCTTCGGAGCAGGACCACCCGGAGGAGCCACAAAAGTCTCCCAAGAGGCCGGCCAACATGCCCGGGAACCCGTGGACCCAGTGGACAGCTGCGCAGTGGACCGCGAAGAAGAAGAAGCCGAAAGGGACGTAAAACAGGACCGTTGGGAGTGCAACATGGACCTACATTGGGTGGTTGTAGGGGATCAATGTAGGCATAATTATAGGTCCATACTTAGGTCCATATTGGTCCTTATATTCCATACAGCGAGTGTTTGGGTTATGTGACGACTTGCTAGAGGATATGACCTTTTGAAGCACCACAGCTTTTGATCGGTCATTTGCCAACAAATACCGTCATGTTGGTTGGGGGTTCTGGTGGCTGGAGGGGCTGGAGATGGCTGGAGGGTCAGTTCCAGGTAGTTCTGAGGTAGTTGGATCGATATGGAGCACTTTGCGGCCGCTCCGCTCACGCTCAGGTTCATCGTTCTAGACCGGAGCCTGGTGGAGTATTCCAGGGCCTTCAGTTGGTGACCTCATGTGACCTCGTACTGGAGTGTCTAAGTGATTGTCAGACTCCTAGAACCTGATCGATCCCTGTTTGGGATCCAAAACATGGTCCAACTTTCTATCAAAACAAAGGTCATGTCTGGGTTCGAACGGTTCTTGGTGCCTGCCACCAATTGGACCACCCCACGCTTCTTGTGGAGACGCCCACGCTTCTCCTGACTCCCAGCCGCTGCGCTGGTTATGCTTCTCCTCACAACGACCTTTCAGGCCCAGCCTCCGGAATCCAGGAGAGCGGTGCCCTTGGGGAGGAAGTGGACCAGAGCAGTCATGAAAACGAACCCAAGCACTCCATGTATACTGTATAGGTCGTACTTTCCATTATTTACAACCTACAGGACAGGGTGGTTTGAATATTCCAGTCCCAGGGAGTGTTTGGGAATACTACCAGGAGCCTCCTGGCCAGGCTGTTTGGGGACCCGTTTCTGGGATTCGAGGTGGACTTGTCAGGAAGCGCCTGAGGATCCAGGTATCGAAGATTGCATGGTGATAGCCGATAGGTGGCGATGTGGTACTAAGTAGATTTGTTCAAACCTGTACCGGTGATGATTCATGTGATTGATTGGGGGAAACCTGCAAGCCGTTGCCATCCGTTGCCTACAAAAGCTGTGGGGTGCTGATTCCAGTGGTTTGAAAGGACCAAGGAGGTGTTGACGCATAGTTTCAGATTGCAAGGCGCTTTTCAGTTGACTTTGTCCAGGAACCCGCGTTGGCGAGGAGCCTGGGAGCCTAAGTGTTTGGCTGGGGCGCAGCAGCGGAAGCAGCGAGGAGTGATGATTGGTCATGGTCAGTAGGTTGCTCAGGAGCCCAAAGTTCAGTGTCCCTAGGGATCCACATACCCTTTGAGAAGGTGGTTGGAGACTCTTTTGTGTAGGTTTGGGGGGTCCAAGTAGCTTTTGAGAAGGCTCTTGGATCTCTAGGGTGTAGAGGTTGTCTTGAAGCTCGCAGGATCCACGGCTCCACCCCACTGCGCTCGAGCCGCTCAAGTCCATGGGGGGTTAAGAAACCACGGTTTTCCACTCTCCCTAGGGCTCCAGGTACCTGCTCAGAAGGCATTGACTCCAAACACGGTGCTTCGAGCCTGTAGGGCCTGACGAACACATGGAAGTGGATAGCATGGTCCCAGGCGCTAGATGACTTTTCCCCGTACCAGCCAATAGCAGTCAGCTGGCTATCCAGATCCCTGGCACAGCTGGCAGGGTGGTGTTCAACCTTCGGAATAGTTGAACCTGCTGAAACCCGCTGGCTCATATGTTTCAAGCGAATTGAAAATGCCCTCCTTTGGTGGCTTTTGCAGGCTTAAGCAGGTGGTGACCTTTTGGAGGGTGCTGGTACTTGTGTTTTTCGCTGATGCTGGCTTCCTATGATCGCATTCATCGCACCGACCAGGGGAGGGCACCCACCAGGGGCACACCCGCACGGCCGAGGCACAAGGCGGATAAGCCATCGTTGGGGGAGCCCAGAACGTGAACGTGAACGCAGCGCACGGTCCGTTGGTCCCGTGTTCATCATATTTCATCCATTGCCATACAGTATCATACAGTGCTTTCAGAGGTTCGATGGCACTGGCACACGAAGATGTTTGTTTGTTGTTGTGATTTTTGTTTATATAATGTGTGTTTTTAAATAGACCAGCATTTGGGGCCCCTTGTGCCATCTAATTCTTCTGAAATGCACTGTATAGTCCAGCCACGAGCCACTGGTTCAACCATTTGAGCAGACGGACCCAGTCTTTACCCCGGACAACTCGGACCGATCGTCTTGTTTGGCCGATCGGACCCCCCGCTTGACCCGGTTGCGTCGGGTCCATCGGGTCCGAAACGCCCACAGCGACGGAAGAAACGAAGTCGAACGTCCGTCGTTCGCACCGAAGGGGTGAGCGAACGGAGCACCCGCAAAAGAGCTGGACCCGATTTCTGGGATTTGTTTGGTTGGGCAGGGGGCAGGGACAGTATAGAGGCAAACCCTTAAGCTTGTGTGTGTGTGTTGTTTTGATTTGTTGCGTTGGTCATCCTCAGATCTAATAAGGGATCATTGGACAGTGATTCACTTGGTTTCTACTCCTACTAGCCTCCTATTGAAACTGATAAGTTGTGGGTGCGACCACATTTGCCCTGCAACACTAGCCCGGGTTTGCTTAAGATGATTTTGTAGGTTCCTTATGGTTCAACCCCCTTCTGGTGAATATGCTTTGTTGTTTCATTTTTCCAGGTTCGTCAATGCAAGCAAATCCAAGCTAGGAGAACACATGTTTTACTTGTCTTACGGAACACCCGTGTTGCGGAACACCCGTGTTTTTGTGCACAAGACGCCAGCAACTTCTTGGCAGACTCAGTTTCTCATGTTCAGAACCCGTATTCATCCCAAACCAGAATTTTGTGGATGGTTTTTGAATGTTTTTGAGAACACTGGTTTTGCTAGCAAAGACCTAATGGCCCTACGTGCGTTTCAAGACCCCACATGTTTGAGGTGTTGGAAGGTGCTTGTGAATTGCTGGGTGGTAACTCCGCCACGGATGGGACAGTCCGCTGATGCCACTCACCTCCATCACTCACGGAGGTGGCTGGAACATGCGGTCCTGCACTGGAAAGACCATGAAATCCTCATACCAAACATGGGGTGCCATCCATTTCCATGTTGATTGGTGGAAGCGCAATCCTTTATTCAGCCAAGCAGAATCAGAATTTGAGGTGTTGGGCGGCTGACCTTGTTCTCTTGGACTGACCATCGCTGGTTCGGCCTCTGCCACCCCCCATCCCCCCAAAAAAACACACACACCAAAACGCAGGCTGCGGCAAGTTGCTGAGACCACTGCGTTGGGTGCTCAGTGCCGTGACACGGTGACATGGACACGTCGTCCGACTGTCCGTGGTTGGGTTCGATGGCACCGTGGTCGATGGGCATCGTTTGGTCCGGTGGAGTGGATGGAACCCGATCTAAAACCCTATGGATCCACATACCTTCTCAGAAGGTAATTGGACCCTCCAAACCTACATAAGTAGTCTCCAATCACCTTCTCAGAAGGTATGTGGATCCATAGGGAAAAACATTTTAAGACTACACCCTGGAAGACGATCTCATGGACCCTGAAAACAAATGGTAGGTAGAGGAAAGCCATTTTCCAGGGGGCCATTGTCAGCTAGGGTCTACGTTAGTTTTCGGGAGTGTACCCGTGCCATCTGCTTCTTAGGTCTTCACAGTACAAGAGAAACACTCGTGCCATGACTTGACTTGCCTGGTAGTTCGAGGTTCTTAGGATGTAACTGTTTGGTGTGTTTGCACAGCCGCTCTGTAGCTGTGCCATGAGTGGAAGGACAGGTGGCCGATCAGAATGAGGTTCGGTGAAAGTGTCTCCATGCAGCATCACATGCGCCACGAGCAACACATGCACCTTTGATCATGGGGTCCGTGAAAAAGACAGTGTGTGGGCACACCTTTATACCAATCATGTCTCCTCAAGGCATGCACTCCCCAGTGTAATCATGGAAGTAGATGGCATGGCCACTTGGATCACCACTTTTCTCTATATACAAACATATGGTCGACCCGCTTCGATGATTCGATTCCGCGACTCACGATTCTCCTTGGGCCCACAACGCGGCTCAACCAGAGTGTCACCCCGACCCCAGTTCAAGGACCAATCGATCGAGTATTGTTGACAATTAAACAACCTCCCCGTATACCAATCAAGCCACATCAAACCCACCTTGTTGACCTCGAAGTGAGGGGTGATCAAGGTGCTCAATCCGTTTGTTTCACCCAAACCATCGACATGCGTTGGCATTGGGCAACGGGACCCTAGACAGAGGTGACCGGTGACCAGACGCCAGGCGCCACCTGGACGACCTGCACCTCCGCGAGACCGCGAAGAAGTTCCCTCGGAGGGCCTCCGAGCCGCTCGGCAGAAGAACAGATAAGAACAGCTCGAGCCGGTTGAGCCTGGGGCAGGATTTTGGGTGCGATCTTCCTACGCACAAACCCTTTTCACCCCCACAACGCACTTATAATTGCTACCCTTGTTTGTTTGTTTTTTTCAGCCGGATCGCGCCATAATGAGTGAGATTGGGTGTTGCTTGTTGATCATAACACGATCTCGAAAGAAATTGGAGGAGGGCTGATCTTCGGACCAACAGTGCTCCAGTTCTGTCGTTGCAGTTGGAGCGCAATAAAAATAAGAAACGTGGTGTGCTCCAGTTCTGTCGTTGCAGTTGGAGCGCAATAAAAATAAGAAACGTGGTCCGACTTGTCACTCACATGTCACTTACCATATCTTACCAGTTTTCCAAGACTGAAAGGAGTTTTTTTGTGTGGCTGTGATGTCCAGTCCAAGTAAAGGTTAAACACATATTGAGCAAAATGATCTCGTGGATGGGACACGACCCCGTGAAACATAAAACGGGTACTACCTACATGTACCCACGTCTTCTGAGGTACGAACGGGTCGACTCTGCAGGTGTTTGGTACAGTACCCATGTTCCAAGGTACAAACGGGCCGACTCCGTCGTTGTCGCTTCGCCGCTTGGTCAGGCCGACGCTCACAGCCAGATCCCGAGGAGGTCGAACGGTGGAACGGCGGAACCGGTGGAACCTGCTGCGTGTTGACCTGGTTTGGAGAATCCTTTGCGGATCGGACGTTTTTTGTTTGCTATTTGGCTGGTGAACCCCCAAAACGCAGGGGACAGATGTTTGATGCGTTTGATGCTCATGGGCTTCCAGCAAAACCAGGTTTGATCGGCAAGGTCGGAGGTCGGAGGTCGACTCGACGCGTTTTTCAGCAGCGTCCGAGCAAGCAGCCGAGCTTCCGGGTCCTCCCGTCCCACGAACGCAACCTCTCTGGGATGTGCAAAACGATGCCTTCGGCCGGCCGGTCGATGCTTGGACTTCCGGATGCTGCAAGGCTGCTTTCGGGGCGAAAAACGGATTGCAACAAACTGGGATGGCGCAGGCGAAACTGGGCAAGATGATGCAAGAGGTGAAAACTGTTTGAGGTCTGGGCCGAGACTCTTTTTGGGTCGCCAGGCTTTGCATGGAAATGGTCCGTCTCACGCATCCATCGGTTCGCCGAATCACCACCCATTGTCAAACCGATCCGATCATCGATATACCTAGCACTTCCAACGGGTGCCCTGTAGACCTGTTTACGTAGGGTAAGGTCTTTTATGGTCTATTGGACACCCAGACAGGATGACCCTGGTACCATCAACAAAAAATCTCAAAACAAGACCATTTGGACCGCGTCAGATGTGCATTTTCCTTTGGGAACCCCGAAAGATCCCGAAAGTATTGGGGCTCCGAGCAACCCCCAGGAAGGTCCTACAGACCGAGCGTCTCCCCCGCTCAGTCTCTCTCGAGCTCCGTTGGCCGTGCCTTCCAAAACTCCATGAATGAAGGTGAAGGTGAAGGTGAAGGTGGTAGATGGTATGGGTGGCATGTATATGCATGTAAAAATACCCTATAGATCCCTATAGACCCAAAAAAAATCAAAAAAAGCCTTCACAAAGACCATGAACGTCCAGATCCCTAGTAAAACCAGTGGTTGGGAACCGTGTTTTCCTGTGTGTCTGTGTATCCTAGAAATTGGAGGAGGTGCGGCAGCCCTGTGCTCACCAGTGGAGGCAGGGCGGCTCCCTGTTGTTCAGGAGCCCCAAGCGTCGTGAAGGACTGGGTGTGGAACCCAGCTTGGTGCCGCCATATGCGACTCACTGATACCTTCAACTACTTAGGGTCTCGAATGGGCATACCTTATAGGGTTTGAGGAGGCTGAGGTCTAACATGATTGAACTTTCAATGTAGGCCTCTGGAATGACCTCAATGAATAGCAGTGAGCAGCCGCATAGAAAAAATGTTGGAAGTGCGTAATCTAATAGTGCATGTGGGTTTCCATGTTTGTTCTTACGGAGAAGGCAGGATCCCTTGAACAGGTGTAGTACTGTATTAATTGAGCGGTATTACATGTCCAAGTGATTGCTTGTTGAGATGTTCTGAAACTACAACAGTCTACTCTACAATTCAGTCATCACCTGGGTCCTTCTCTCGTCCCTCTTTTAAAACACACCCACACTACCTCGCAGAAAGCAGCAGCGCCGAGGCGGACGCCATGCGTGATGTCCTGGGCGTCAGGGTGCCCCAGAGGCTTCAGCAAGATCATGGAGGACGATCACACATCCTACAGCCCCGGCAGAATCCGGGCCCTTCTCCAATAAGGGAAGATGGAAGAACCCAGGGCCGCACTTGCTCCATAGCTTGCATCCCCTCAAGCACCGGAGAGAGGGTGAGGTTCACAAAGGGAAGGTGATTGATGCAGTGGTGAATTTCAGTACTCAAAGCCAGCATTCCAAATGCACAGATGGTGGGCCTTTTCCAAAGAGGATGCCGAGCGAGTGGCTCAAGCTTATCAGCAACTCCTCAGTGTAATGATGCGAGACTTGGATGCTCGGCTTGGCCTCAAAGCGGCTGAGTCTGTCAAAGGTGTCCACAGAGAGGATGATTCATCATCCGTTTCTTACAATGCCAGACCATTCGTGGGACTGGAATATGTGCCTACATTGACCCCAGGTCAGCCACCGCAGTCTAGGTAAATAGGCCAGTCCCATGGAGTGTCTTGGAACAGATTCGCCTCAGCTAGGAGTTTCGCCAACATGACCAGGGCTGGTCACAGAAGGAATCGAGGAGAGCTACCTTCTGATCAGTGACCGTAGGCCCCACCAACTTGCGTTTAACTCTTATTGGCCACCAGCTTGCCCTTCAGCCTTGACTGGTTGCCTACCCAGTTGTGCATCCGGTTGCCTACCCAGTTGCGCATCCATTCAGACAATGCAAGCTCCGAGGCCAAGAACAAAATATCACTCCTGTAAAGCCTGGGTGGAAATTTGCTATCTCAGGGCTATATACTGCAAGAAAGTTGTGTTCGGCCACTTCTTGGTCGGGCATGCCAGCCCTTGGCCACCTTGGCTCTTGGCCAGGGAAGCAGTAGCAGCTCCAGCTGTCCCGCTGCAGCCTTGCCAAGAGCAATCCCTATAAGGCTGCGGCACCCCGCCACCCGTGCGCCAGTCATGCTGAGAGGCGTCGCTCCGCTGGCGGCGCCCCGCTCCGACCAACGCTGTGTGGCTGCGAGAATCTCCGTAGACTTCTCCGGTCTGAGTCTAAATTCTCGACGTTTGGGGCGCCCCCTTTGCTGCGCCGCGGAGTCATCCGTTGGCCACTCGGCTACCCTAGGGTATCGATATAGGGGGGGTAGCCTAGGGCCTACGATAGGCCTATGGATAGGCTAGGCCCCGGGAGTTGTATGCCCATACAACAAAACCTAAAACCTGCAGGCATTTGGACATATGATGCTTTGTATCGCATTCTTTGGAAAAGGACCACCTTCTCCAACAAACAAGGACATATTGGGACTTCTTGAGCTTTGCAGTTGGTGAATGATTCATCTTTGGCTGGGTTGAAGCCACAAGAAGGTGTCTACATCTAATTAATAGCCCTGCCAAATCATGGCTCCCCTACACTCCTAGGTGCCAGATGCTTATGGTGCCTTTCCACAAGGCACAGCTTGCCCGGTCAATCGGAACTGATTCTTTTGGGCCTTGCGCACCATGTATGAGATATTTACCTACTACGTTATCCTACGTTATAGGGTGGTTTGGGGTGTTGTATAGTTTGCACATGGAGTGTTTGGGCCTTTCTTGGGGGCGGAAAGCCCGTTGAACCACGGCTAACCCCGGTATATATTCTGATCTATTCCCCTGTAGTGTGAAAGAACGCGCCCCTGTTTGCGGACTCTCGTTCGCCGCATCCGCAGAAGGCAGCAAATGGATCTACAGGCTGTGAGAAGAACACAACAAACCACCCGCACTATGTAGTCTAAAGAGGGAACTCCCACGTTGAAAAGCTGCTTGGAGCCTTGGAACATCCTCCAACGAGGATTTATAATCGGTGATGTTACTCATCAGTCTAAAACTCAGGGCGCTTTTTTCCTCGAATACCAGTTGTTTGGAGATGCGGGGGTAGGTGGATCAAATTGCAGACATGCCTTTATCGGAAGAGTTTCAGCGCCGGTGGTCACGGTGGGCTGCACAGCTGCGGCAGAAGCCCCTCAAGTCATGCCAAGATGTTCTGCAGGAGGTGTGAATGGTTGGCATTCCGACAATGTTAGAATCCTTGGGCCCTCCACAGGGTGTCCAGAGGAGGGGTCCGGACCTTCAGCCACCCTTCGATTACCCCTTCCAGGGTCCGGATTCTTAGGGTGATAGGCCTCCCAACCATCCCCAGTGACCTAGTGCCTACACACGGTCGACTTCGGTTTGGTTCGTGCAGGCAGTTCACGCCATAGTTCGCGCCATGGGTTACTTGGAGTTTGATGGGTGCCTTCTTAGCCGGACCCGGAAGGACACCACAGTTCGCGCAGGTGGGGTCTCACAAAATGCTTGTCGTAGCAGATTGAAATCAACTGACATTAAGGCTGAACCCTGGGAGAAGACTCCTCGGACCAACATACACGGGTTGACGTGAATTCAGGGGTTGACGTGAAAACTGGAATCGAGCACATCGCTGGTCTTGGAATATAGGTCTTTGGGAGTGTTTTGACGAGGATGAAAAGAAGGATATGTTTGAAGAGCGCAGCCGGCCATTGGCCCAAAGGCTTTCTTGTTTATAAGCCAGCGCAGCTCAGTCAGTAGACTCTTTTGCGGCCCCTTCCTGATAGATACCGCGGGGTGGGGACGGCATACGCGGCATCGGCCAAATAGGGACCACCACCCAGACACTCCATGGGACTGGAATGTGCCTACATTGGCCCCCCCTGGCACCACCCCTGGCCGTTTCTCGGCAGTGTGGCAGTCCCATTAGTCGCGTTTGGGCCAGCATGTCAAAACACCACTTCCTTCGGTGACCTTGATCGATTTCCATGGTGTTTTTTTCGGCGGATTCCGGGATCTCTCTCGATCTACCTACCTGTTTGGACGGGACGGGCGACAGCTAAACAAGGGTGAACTCGGCTCCAGTCATAACCTGAGGAGGTACTGAAGGCCCTAGGCTAAGGGGAATCAAGGCATAGATGTGGGATGGTGTGGTTTTCAAGGCCCGGAAACCCCGGAGCTTCGGACCGAACTGAGTCAGCTCTCGAGCTTGGGGATGATCCCGAAGCGCGGAGAGGTGGAGAGGTGAAAGATGGGAAAACCAGCCATCCATGGGGTGAATTTACAGTGTCTCCCTGGTTTGTGGGAGGGATCGGGTGTCATGGTCGTGTTCACCATGTGCTTGAGCTGTCTTTTGGTTTGTCTGAATCGCATGTCACCTACCTGGAGCTTCGGACCTCGGGGTGTCCTGGACCTGGAGATCCGCAGTTTTTTCCAGGCTGGAAGAGCCAGGTGACCCCGAGGTCGGAAGGTGCTGGTACCTTCCTGGTTGCGAAAACGCACGTTTTCACGGGTTCAGGTCCAAAGAGGCACCACCGCCAGGACGGAAGCGCGTACGTGCGGCGGAGGAAAGACATGACTGTCCGGCCGGTCGAGTACTGACAAATACATTCAATTGGGAGCACCTGAAGAAAGGAGATTTGTTTTGTGAATCTCTCACTCTCGCTTCAGCCTTATCAGGACTCTTTTGTGCGCCCTGTCTTTAGACCTTCATGGGCGTGGGAGTGGGGGGAGTCGACCTTCAATCTTCGCCGTCAAATCTTTGACATGGTGAGCTTAGGAGTTGTAACCTTCCGATGTTGAGTTCAGCTGGTTTGGTTTCCCTGTTCAGACGTTCCTTATGGAAACCACTGGTTGGCTGAGCAGCTCACCGGTGCCGACCGTGGAGGCCCTCCCGGTGCACCGAGTCAGTTCGGGCGGCCAGAGCGCGAGACGGCGAGGTGAGGGAAGACGGGGGAGGCGATTGACGCCGGCGATGACCAGAAGAGTCCCTATAGCGTTGGAACAACTTCTGGGTGGGGTGGGTGCCAGGGGGATCGAATATACCACCGAACCTGAGGATATGGGACATATGGGACAGGAGCGTACTTAGCTGCACCCTAGGGCCCGTACCGAACCTCAGGTACGGTGAGGAAGGAGACTTTGTGATTTGCCGGTGCCAGGAGGGTCCGAGGATTCGAAGCAAACAGATTTTTGTTTGCCTTTGATCTCCCCAAACGTCCTGAAAGCCATTTTTAGAGTGGTTTCTCATGGTTTCTCATGGTATTCTTCACCCAGAGTGACAGGTGCAAGATCTGCAAGGTCCGGTGAAGTGTTGTGTTTTGTGAAACCATGTCAGCTAGGTCAACTGCTGTCAGAGGCGCGAAGAGGTATCAAGAGGGCTTTGCTTTTGGCACCGTTTTTCCAATCCCAACACGACCTGTTTGGGACTGCCGGACTGCCGAACAGGCCAGGGGGTGGTTGACCAGGGGTTGTTCTCACCCTTGAGGTCACAACGCCGGTGGTCGCGTGAACACAACGCACAGCATTGACCTGGTCGTGTCTTAAACATGGATGATCCCTCCATGTGCCACTTGGGTCCCTTTGGAGAAACACATGGAAACATGGGACGTTTGAGGCGTTTGCAAGGATCACACATGAAAGGTTCAAGAATCGTATACCATATGCACATCCTTGCACCCGACCTTTTTGTTCCGAGTTATGGTGGCTGAAATGGAGACTTCAAGGTGGCAGGTTTCAGTGTCCTTCTTTCAGGCACCTTCTTTCCACCTGACAAGCGGAGAGACGGCATCGTCACACTGAGGCCCGTGGCCAGTTCTAGGCGGGGTCGGAAGTTCATTATCGTAGGGTGACTTGCCCCAGCTTGGGAGCTGCCACTTCCCAGCTGGAAGACCCCCAGATTTGGCCCCACCTCCCAGATTTGGTTCCAAGTTCCACACAAGAGGCATGACTCAAGTGCGGAAGTCTTTGTCCATGTTTGGAAGACCGTGGGATGAGTGATGAGTGGCGTTCGGCTCATGGCCGCCGGTCGCTTCACTTAGGTCGGCTCATGGTCACCGGGAGATCCTCCGAACAGCGGCCTCCGATGGGAGTCCAATGAGAGTCACGGTGTACCTTACACTGCTTACAGCTATAGGGGCCTTGTGGAGTGCCTTGTGGATCCTGGGGCCTTCATTGATTCATTGGACAGCTATATGGGATGGTCCCTTTACTCCGATTGTTTCTGATGGAAAGCCATCAGGTCCTCGTGCCAACAAGGCCTCCGTCGGTGAACTGCACAGCAGCTACACGTGTGATTGATGCAGTGAGTCATTTGGTCTCATGCGACCGGCCGCGACCGGTCGCTGCAGGAAGGACCAGCTGATTCCTCCACTGCATCTTGGCACGGACACCGGGGCTTCGTGGCCCGACAGGGCGAAGCTGGCCAAGCTCGGCCCAAGCTAGGCCACGGCCACTTTCGGAGATGCCAAGAGGAACTGGGGGGGGTACTTATGTGCGGAAAGAGGCATCTCCGGATGAGCTGTGACCCTGTCATGAGCTGAAAGGATGTTTTTTTCTCCGTGGAGGCCACCCCCATGGCTAGAACCAGCCCAACTGAGACTCAGTTCGTCCAGCATGTATGATGCCATGAATTGCTGTATGTAACAAGTCCTGAACAAGCCTGTGTCCAAAATCTCTAAATTGACCTTTGTTTCTCTCTCTTGCACCTACAGACGTCTCTTTTTTCAAAGGCCCTTTGCTCTCCAAGTGAGTCCAAGTGTTTTCATAAGTGGGCAGCCACGAGATCTTGGGAGGGTGAAAGAAGGCTTCCGAAGATCGCTTTGCCTCGAAGATCACGGGGTTTGGTAGGCTTGAAATGGATTCTCTTCATTCTGATTCTCGAAGAGACCCCGGGCTGAAACGGGAGAAACCGGAGGAAACCGGGGGCTTTTGGGGTGTAAGACATGTCAAGACCAGAATCCAGGCCAAGATTCTTCAATCAGCAGGCAGAATGGTTTCAAGACCAGATTCCAGGCGTCGATTTGTGGTTTTACTCTTAGGATTTCCTAGGCTTCGATCTCAAAAACCACCCATGGCCACTCCCACGGCCTTTTTTCGATTTTCGCCCTCCACCCAGCCCTCGGGCTTTTGGGTCTTCAAGGCCAGAGCGCCCGATCCGACTGGCCTCTGGCTTAGCAGCTCGGTGTGGAGTTCCACGTGGATCGAGGTGTGCCTGGTTTTGCTTAGGGATGATGTTTCTATTTTGCCGAACTGGTTCAATCCCCCAAACCTAAGGTGGTTTATTCTTTCAGGTTCCAAACGCAGACAAGTCCAAGAACTAATCATGCTATTGATAATGCCCTCAGAAGGTAGGGGCAGACCCCCCTGGCACCTTTCCTAACCACCTTCGAAAGGGAGGTAGTTGGAGCCCTATGGATGTTATTAGCGCATGTAAATGTATGCGCAATGTTATAGTCATGGATGGCATAACATCTTCAGGTGTGTTTGGGATGGAATCAGAATGACATCACAGGGGTTTGGGCCGTTTTTTCGTGTCACGTTGATTGTCTCCAGGAGGTGTGAAAGGTTGACAATTCCGATGTCCTAAGAGTCCTGCTACCCCGACCTTGCGTGATGGTGGGGGGTCGGACCCAGACCATGGACCAGTGCACTGTTGAGAAGTATACCAGGACCATGGGCTGTTGCTGGAGATCCCGAAGCGTAGCAATCAGGCTGATGGAATCAGACAGAATGGTCCTCGTAGGGTCAGGGATGGGTCCTGGTAGGGACTGATGGGTCCTGGTAGGGAGGATGATGTTTGGCCGGAACTTGACTGGACAGATGGTGATACCGCACGTGATGAATTGGGTGGACTTTCGCCACCGTTCGTTGACGATTCCATGGGTCTGGTGTTTTTTTTTTTTTTTGTGTGTTTTTACTTTTAAAGCCGTCCTGCATTGGGTTACTTGGGCCGATTACACACTTATAGGGTATATAGCTCCTGGCCGTAAAAAAATAGAATTAATTGCTCAAGCCTGTATTTTTTTTTTTACGGCCAGGAGCCCCTAATAGCTTCTTATTCCTTGTAGTAAGGCCCCTAGTAGCGTTCTTGTTCCAAGTAGTAAGGCCAGGAGCCGCTGGTAGCGTCCTTGTTCCTACTAGGTGTTGAACTTTGCTCAGGTGCTTTTGTTTCATTCCAGCTGTGCCCTCAGAGGTGAAGCTGTTTCATGCATGGGCCTGGACTCCACCTCAATCCACTATGCCGTTCTATGCCGTAGCACAAACGCTTCCATTTCTTTGTTGTGCGCGGAATATAGGAATTCTTGATAATCCATCAAATTATAGCAACTAAGTTTGCCAGATGTTGCAGAACCAGTTTCCAGGCACTACTGTAGTTCCCAAACAGTTGTTGTGTTGCGTTTCTTTCCTGAAGAGTGTTTTGATTTGATTCTCAAATCTTGCATGTGTTGGCAGTTCTGATTTCTTCCACCTTAGCCACATGTTCCATCACGGCTTCAGCACCTGTCTACATGGCGTTGACCACCGCGCCCATGGCGGCGGCGAACACCGGAACGCGGAACGCGGAAGCGCTCTCCTCGCCGCCCAAGGGCCTCGGTGCAGGACCGTCGCCGGAGGTGAAAAAAGAGGTTCTAACGGTTGAAGAACCCTACCAGCACCCGAAACCAACAGGTCTCCGAAATGGAGGCGACCTTGTAGACTTCAAAGTCGCAGGTGGTGACCTGTAGAGTTGGGTCCTGGTATAGACTCTATAGACTGTCCCTTATAGACTGGGTACAGGTTACTACGGGTCCTTCTTCAGGTCACTGGCTACCTCTGTTGGTTTGTCGTGCAAAGTTCCACCTGTCTGGCGGGGTCCATTCCCACCGACATGGACATGGATGGAAGTCCGGTCACGAACTCTCTTCATGTCGAAATGGCATGCAGCGCCGTGCAGCGCCATACACAGGGTATATACAGTATACATGGCCTAGTACGTGGCCTGAAGGGTCTCACAAGCACTTGACTTGCTGAACCAGATAGTTTCTGAGAGCCTTGGGAACCTTGTGGTGAAGTGTTTGATCGGCAGGCGAAGCAGGGCAGATCATGTAAGATCGTACTTCTTTGTTTGGGACGGTGGCACACCAACAGAGGATACCCCACTATAGGTACCCCAGGTTACGTACCCCAGTAAGTACGGCCCTATTTACTGCCTACCTGGCCTACTGACCGGCAGGCGCCACGTGCATCGACCTCACCGGTCTGACGATGACATCGAACTCACCGGTCAAGTCCGGTGGTTGACCGGTTCTGGCGGGGTGTTGCGAAGGCGTGGTGCAAGGGAACTTGGGTTTGCTGTGGAGATGTAGAGTGAGCATATTATAGCGCACATGTTGATTCTATATGAAGTTCAACATGTTAATGTCAATGACAAAAGTCCTGTGAAAGAACCATCTTCACCTTAACTTCTTCGTTCCTCGGCCTCAACCTTTAGACACTCTGACTCTCTTCGGCTTCAACGGGACGAGTGTCTATAGATGGCTTCAACGGTGGTCCGAAGGCTCCAGCACTGGGAAGGCCGCACTGGACTGGATCAGGTGGAGCGAGCGCGGAGAAGCGAGCGCCAGTGCGAAGCGGGGCGTTTCGATTGAAGCGGATTGGGTCACTGGATTTGATGTTTGGATCGCTGAATTTTGAAGCGGATCGGCTAGCAATAGCACAAGCTTGGTTCATTTTGGATTAACATGCTTTTGTGGTCTGTGGTTCCAGCTGTGCTTTTGGAATAGTGGCATTGCTTCGCCAATATTCCATCCACGATTTGACCTTCAGAGCAGCAGTGGAGTCGGAATTGGCAATGAGGCCTCTCTGGCCGCTTGCAGCATGTGCAGCATGCTGCGCAGCATGCTTTCGACGCCAGCGTCATCGTGTGTGCTTGTCAGGTGCTGAGTTTTGGTGTCAGATGATGTTAGGTGTAAGGCGTAAGACACCTAGCATCTTCCAAGGGGTCATCAATGGAAGCCTTTACTCTATATACATATGGACTTCCATTGGACACTCCTTGGAAGGTCCAGGCATGTAAGATGATATTGATTTTAAAACACTGGTTTTCTTGATGTTTTCTTGGGTCATTTGTAGGCGCCGCGCCCTCCTTCCCGACTCGCGGCTCAGTGGCGTAACCGTGTCGTGAAAAACCGTGTTTCCACGAACGCCGCTTCTAGAGACGCCATGGAGCCGAAGGCGGGAGCACGGCAGCGCACGGGACTGGCAGCATGGCTTCCCGAAGCGTTCGTTTCTGCCTGGCAGCATCACTTGAGCCAAAGAATACATAGAAGGTTAACTGCAGTCATATGATGAATTCAGATGAATTCAGGTTCTCCCATGGAGGGGTTTACATACCGTACATTTGCCTCTTCTTCTAGTTTCAAACGGCTCACAGAACTTGCTTTTGTTCCCCATTTTTGATTGCCGTTTGCTCTTCAGATGTTAGCAAACCCGTCGATGGACTTCACCAATCTTCTGGAGGCGAGGAACAGATGAAATTGAAGACATGTGAAGCAAAAAGAAACATGAACTTTTTCTAAGAAGCAACATGCAGCAAACACATGAGTGTCTACTTGCTCGGAACTCGCCTCAGACAGAACTAGTCACTAAGTCCAGGTTGCTTGACTTTGCGAATCGTGCCGTGCGCAGGGAGATCTGAAGGAAGAGGTTATGAAGGAGCTGAAGAAGGATCCAGAGGTTCAGCTGCTAATATTAGCGCAGGTTGAGCAGCTGAACCTCCAACAGCAGCTGAACCTCCAATATTCAGGATCCAGAGGTTGAGCAGTTTTGCTCCAATTCGCACATGTTCCGGTTTTCGATCGAAGCTTTGGAACCAAAAGGAGAGGTCAATCACAGCAAGAGTAGGCAAAGCAATTAATACGATATTAATAGGAGGAGCGGGCGTCGGATTTGGAGCCGCAGACGCGTCGTCGAGTCCGTCGACACCGTCGGTCTTTCGGACGGAGCGTTTCTGCCAGGCACAGACTGCAGGAGACTGAGAAGCATGAAGGAAGCGACTGACCGTCAGACCATGTCAGACTATCAGTCACGCTAATGATCGCTGTCAGCTGATCCTATATCTTTGCTGATCTTTACCTCCGTTCCACAAGTTCGATTTTGTATATGGATTGTTTTTGCAGTATCGCATCGTTTGCTGCTTTCTCCAAAGGAGGACAGGACACGGGTCGCATGCATCAGAACAGAGGGTTTTCATGCAGCAGACGGATGGAGGCAATATTATATGCGTTGCATGATGTCGCATATATAGTTAATCGGTGTTCTAAACAGAAGGGAATGTACATAGATCAGTTTGTTTCTCGGTTTCGCCCCTTTCTCAAGGCCAACTCGCCAGAGTCCAAGTTGAGCCGAATCTCCACAGAGGCGGGGAAGCTGGACCCGAAAGACCTATTATAGCCTAATCAAAACGACTTACCCTCCCTGCAACAAACATGGAAGTGGACAACCCCCTGTTTGTAGAGGAAAACGGTCTTCCGGGGGCCTACTTTCCTCCACTTCCATGATTGTTTCTGTCAGTGTAGTTTTCAACTCGCGTCCGATACACGTGGAGCTCTAGCTGTCAGGGTTTCAGCATGGAAGCTTCCAACGACTATTCATGTTTGACAGCGTAAACAACGTACGTACTCAAGTCACGTCACTTTTAATCACAGATGTGCTTTTTGACATGTATGTGTTGGATATCCAAAGTACAGGAAGCCCTTCATTACGGTCAGAATATCCTTTGCCCCTTGATTTGAGAACAGACTGTAGGTGTGGGTGTGTGGGTGTGTGTGTATAACCCGCTCTTACACGCGGTTGACGAGTTTCTGTAAATTGTATCGACTTTTGAGAGCAGGGGGTCCAGGCAGTTGTGAGTTGGCCCTGGACCAGCGAAGACGGACTCACAACTGGTGAAGCGAGAAGGGACGCCTTCTTGTGTACCTGCCATTTTAACTTACCGTAAAGGGCTAATGCATTGATCGATGGTGTCGCCGACTTTGCTTGGTTTTTCGATTTTTCAAGGACACACACTTAGGAGGTTCTTGGCTTTGTCATCATCCTAACGCTCTACACTCCAAGACTCATTCCCCAGTGTGTAGAGGGTGCATGCCAGAATTGGCGACACCGTCGAGACCCTTCGTGGGACTCTGTAGCTGGCACGGGCCTTCCCGCGAGAAGCAATTGGTCCTCGTCCAGAGGTTCCAGAACTTAGCGCACCAACGTGGTGTCGACTAGTTGCTCACATGCGGAAGACACAGTCTTCAGACAGACTGTTCATAGCTGCAATCAAGCGCAGTTGCAAAGCGCAGAAGCTGCCATCGAGCGCAGTTGCAAAGCGGCAGAAGTCGATTTGATTGATTACTTCCATGCTTTGCACCCGTTGCCCGGATCTCAAGCTCGGCCTTGCGCTTGAGCTTTTGGCCTCACTTCCGTTTAAGACCCCCAGGATCCTTCGGGTTTCTCTGCCGACTTGCACTTGAGCTTTTGGCCTCACTTCCGTTTAAGACCCCCAGGATCCTTTGGGTTTCTCTGCCGACTTGCACTTGAGCTTTTGGCCTCACTTCCATTTAAGAACCCCCAGGATCCTTTGGGTTTCTCTGCCGGCTTGCACTTGAGCTTTTGGCCTCACTTTCGTGTAAGACCAGGATCCTTTGGGTTTCTCTGCAGACTTGCACTTGAGCTCCGATCGAACCAAGGCACTCTTTTCTGCGGCTTTCAAACTAAGGATGCTAACGAGACCCACCGGTTTGGACCGTATTCGGCGTCGGCCTGTTCGAATTTCGGGACACTAAAATCACAGACGTCACTGTTGTGCATAGGCCCACTCACGAAGTCTGAGCCCTGCACGGGGAGGGCCATGTGTGTGTGTAACCCGCGCTTATGACGGGCTTCTTTAATTGTATCGACTTTTGAGAGCAGGGGGTCCAGGCAGTTGTGAGTTGGCCCTGGACCAACGAAGACGGACTCACAACTGGTGAAGCGAGAAGGACGCCTTCTTGTGTACCTGCCATTTTAACTTGCCGTAAAGGGCTAATGCATTGATTGATGGTGTCGCCGGCTTTGCTTGTTATTTTTATATTTTCAATCACACACACTTAGGAGGTTCTGGGCTTTGTCATCATCCTAACGCTCCACACTCCAAGACTCATTCCCCGGTGTGTGTGTGTGTGTGCGGGGATCTTGTGGCGTCGCGCGGGTCCGACACGTCGCTCACGTTCAAGAGGGTAGGTTGGGATCCCACGCCATTCGATGCCTCTCTGATGAAGCCTGAGAGGGAAAGTTCTCAGCCCAGCATCATTCGGCCGTTCTGGAACTCATTGTTCCTGCACGGGCGAAGTGGCGTGCAACATCCGTTTGCGTGTGTCACCCCGCGCGTCTCGAAGAGAGGTCTGGAAGCGTCAGACCCGAGACATCCTGAGCCGCTAGCAGCCCCATCACTGAATTGATCGCAACAAAAACAGGCAAAAACCACGTAGCAGGATCAAGGATGATCAGGGTCATCAGAGGCATCAGTTTGTCCAGCGGCCTAGTGTCGCATAGTCGGGCGAAACTGACATGGCGACGATGTGTTTGCCCGTTCTTTCTGTCCCTGTGCCACCGAAGCAAAGGCTTGCTCGTCTCCGAAGCTCCGACGTCGCTCGTCGGATCCGACCTCGTGGTTTCCGAACACGGAACCGCAGGTGGTTGGTCCTCGGTCCTCGGTTGTAGGTCCGTAAGGCATCCGAACGGAAAGGCATCCGGACGTCGGCAGGAAACAGCCCAATGAACCGGCCCTACATCAGCGTGGACCAATGCAAACCATCTGTGGAAACTCTGGGAACAATTCGCGAAGTGTGTTGTGATCCAATTTGATCTTTGATTCGGAAGAGGTCGTAGAGTGCATGGAATGGACACGTCTGTGCGAACCTCTATTTTGCTTTGCCACCTGACGTTCTGAACCGCCGAAAGGTCAATCAACTACTATAATTAATATTGATTAATATATAATTATGCAATATATATTGATCAGTATTGTATATACCTGGATCCTCCAAAGTACGTTAGAAAATGGGACATGACACCATAAAAACAGTACGACTGTACCCATTTTCCGAGGTACGAACTGAGACTTCAGGTAATTGTATGCAATTGTCATACCATGGGTCTTGATGTTCTGTTTTGCCTGCCTCGACAGGCGTCGGTGGGCGAAGCTGCTTGACCGCAGAACTGCTTGTCAGCTGAAACAGCTTGACACGCAGAGCGCAGTTGATCAAGCGCGACTTGGACCCTGTTGAGGTCACCAAATCCGTGAACAGCTTTCAGTACGAGGCATGTCCGCTATTTTGGTTGACCGTCGTTTCCGCTGGGACGCCGAACGCCTGTTGGGCCTCTCACCTTCGAACGGCAGAGGCCCAAAACTTGGACGTGCCCGTGGTCGTCGTCACCTCGGAGGTGCGGTGCGGTGCGAGGTGAGGTCATCGTCGTTACGTGCGAGGTGAGGTCATCAGCAGAGGTAGCCAATGACCGGTTTCATAGGCCCCGCTATTCTGGGGTACCGGTTCCTGGGATAGTCTAATTATATCTAATTATATCTAATTATAGGGTTCTTCAACCTCTGTTGGTTAATCTCAGCTAAGAGGGAAGCACTTTCTGAACATGATGTTCCTATGGTCTATGAGCTATGTTTGGTCTATGTTAGAGGAAAACAGCGACGTCACAATGTTTTGCGGGGTCCCCCTGCTAATGTAGGGATGGTAGAAAACAAAACAAGGCAATCATATCTGCAGCAGTCACAGGGGTGCGATGAAAATGGAGGAAGTCGGGGAGCCCAGCACATCACATCCACAGCCCCTGGATGGGACGAGCCAAACCACCCAGGCCCTCCTTGTGACTCCTGGTCGTCTCATTCGATCCCTTGAGTCGGCTCTGCCATCGCCAGATCCACCCGTGGTCCAAAAGCGGCGGCTTAGCCATCGTTGCAGCGCAGTCGCTTGGGATGAGAGCTGAAGAGCGTCTGAAAGTTCGCCCAGACCATCCGTTGGACTGGAAGAGTTCCCAGACCATTGGGGTGATGTCCATGGGTTATTTCTATATATATATATATACCAGGACCCCCAGGAGTTGGGTGGTTAATGGACACCCCGAATCACAGCTAAGGGGCTATGAATAGACACCGTCCTGGTATATAAACTGTATTTAACTATTCATGGATGGTTTGGGAAGCTACATGTTGCTGGATGTTCCCCGAAAACAAGCTGTTGCCCCGCTGATTGGCTGATTGGTTCCTTGAGGTATGCATACAACTTTGCCATCCGCGGTCACCGTGCCCTCGGCGTTCTTGTGTCCTGAAGCGTGGGCATGTGGCACCAGTGACGGATCTCTCCCAACGTCGCATTCTTTCATCACTTCACATCGCTTGTGTCGAAACCAGGAAAACCAACCGATAATACGGAGAGATAGGAGAAGAGGAGATGGAAAGGGTAAAGATAATAGACATCAATTAGGACTTCAGAATAAATACAAAATATAAATTTACCCAAACATGTATAGCCCACCCGAGCTCGGGGTTGAGCCCAGCTCCCGAGCTCGCCAGGCACCATGGCGATCGCTCCGATGTACGACAACTATGACGGGGCCTTCTATCAGTGCACCAAATCCTTTGAGCTCTTCGGTGGCCTTCATGAGGTGCACCGAATTCGCATCGCCGCGATGAAAATCGCGCGAAGCGCGAACTACCGCGGAGATGGGGGCGTTCCTGTCCACACATGTTTGTTGCTAGCGCGCGTGTGTTCTTTTTTCCCATGACCAGGAGTCACATGGAGGGCCTGGGTGGTTTGGCTCGTCCCATCCAGGGGCTGTGGAGTAGCTGGGCATCGGCATCCCCATCCTCCAATAGACTAGACACCCCGACATGGAGCTGCTGGTGCGCTGTTCTTTGTTCATATTGATCATACCAGGACCCTCCTGTCGGGGTTTCCATTTATAGCCCCAAAAAGCTGTGAAGAAGGGGTGTCCATGAAGCACCCCGACTGGGGGTCCTGGTATATGATCATAATTGTTGTTCTTTGTTTTTGTTTTCCCTTTGTAGACCTTCAGGACCATGTTCTTTTCTTCATTTCTATTCTTCGCCCGTTTGGGTTTACAGCTGGTGCTCTTTCCCTACAAGCCGTTTCTGCTTTCCACCGGCTTTTGCCTCGCACCTTTCCCGTGGTGTTGGTCTTCCGCTCTCCAGGTTCACTACTATCACCACTTCCAGAACTACGGCGAAGGCTGGTTTGTTTGTCAGTTGGCCATGTTCCGTCCTCTCGGCGCAGGCAAGGGATGCGATTACGTCTTCATTGACCACCCATCCTTTCGCAGGCGAAGACAAAGGAGAAGTGAGAAGTGTTCGCCCACAAACAATGCAAAAGAGAAAGACCAGACACAGTTATATAAAGACATATGAAAGGAATGCGATACAAGTAATTTGAGTTAAGTTTGCTTGCACTTTCAAAGACAGCAAGTGAAGAAAGAAACGACTTTGGAAAGATGAGTTGCCACATGATGCCAATGTATGCCACGCACGATGCATTAATAACGCTGATGTGGAACCATGCGATCAGGCCAGGTGGTCTCTATCACAATCTCTCGGACAACCAGGCCAAGAGGGAATGAACAAGGGAAACGGATTGAATTGTTTCCCTTCCCTAGGGATCCAGTCGTACCGAACCTCAGATACGGTGAGCAAGGAGATTGTTTATGTAGGCGCCAGGGTCGGGCCCAGTCGTACCGAACCTGAGAAGGTACAACTGGATCCCTAGGGTTTGTTGTTATTCTTATCACCTTCAGACGATTTTAGACCTCTAGTGTCCTTATGTCCTTCCTTTTCTTTTTATCATTTTCAACCACGTGGCTCTGTTTATGCCCATGCTGCTCAGGAGTACTCTGACAACCTGTTTAGGCGCGACTCTTCTGTGCTCAGTGAGACAAAAACGATATGTGACACTTTATGTATGACTCGACTCCCGATTGACATTCTTGAGTGGGTGGGTGGGGGCTAACAACGCATCAGACCCGTCGCAGTTTTTTTCTTTTACCAGCTCAATGCGCATCTTGATCCCCAAACCGTTTTGTTTTTTGCTTTTCATGAACTTCTATCCCTACAGGTGAATGACCTCATTTTACTGGACATGCAACAACACTACGTTTCAGAACGGAAAAGACCAGGTTTGGACCTGGGTCAGACTGGACTTGTAGGGTATGGTTACTTGTTTTTCGTTTTTTTTTTTCCCATCTGGATGAGTTTTGCACGTTGGCAACCCCATGTACCAGGCACTCCATGTAATATAACATATATAGGTCTGTCCGTTCTTACCTCTCAGTAAACAAGGCCTTTACTATTTTTGAACAAGGCCTGCAACCTAACCATCATCTTCCACTGGGCCCAAGTATTAGGATAGACCCAGTGATAGACCCAATATAGAATATTTGTCTACATTTGGGCGGCGGTTTGATGGGTCAATGTAGGTAAATATTCCATGGGTTGTTTGGGCACGGAGAAGTTGGGAAGATCACAGTACACTAGAACCAGTGGCCGGTGGCCGGTGTTTTTCTATGTGGTTACTGAAGCATGCTTGGGCAGTTTCGATGTTTGTTCATAGCTGGACAAGTCTCGTTGGGAACCCTTTGGCGGACGCTCGATATATATTACGACCTTATGCTGGTGTGAATTGCGCTTCTCGAGCGTAACATGCAAGAATTTGTTTGCAGCATGAGCCGAAGAGCTTCCAACATGACTCTGGCCTTCAGCCACGTGCCAACAAAAGAACCTGTTTTGCGGGGCCATTCCTTTGGGACAACTCATTTCGCAAAAGCATCCGCAAAACATTGCTCAACAAAAACAACAAACTTGATTTCAACCACCGTGAACTCTGAACCTCTAGAGTGTTGAACAGCTAACGACTTGAGACTTCTTCACCTCAGCCAGGTGAACAAGGTCTTCAAACAAAACAAACACACGTCAACTCGAGGTTTTGTTCATCTACAGTGGTTTCAGAATAGATAGCACAAACCCAAAGATTACATTTTGAGGGGTATATCACTTGGGGGCCCTGCGCCATCTACTCTGAAACCACTGCAGTCTCAAAGCTCGCGCGTGGACAACGCGCGCAGGTTTGCACTCTTCTCATTGGCTGCTTTGGAGGAGTGGTCTTGGGACGCACCGGATCCCATTCCCAAACACTCCATGTATGGCATATTTACCTACATTGACCTCTGAAACCACCCCAATGTAGGCATATATGGCATACATGGAGTGTCTGGGATTTGTTCATGCACAAAAAGCCGAAGATGCTTGTGATTCTTTCTCGTGCATTCGGGCATTTTGTAGTGACAGCTGGCGCAGAGTTGAGGGCACACAGCGAAAAAGGTGCAGGGAAGTCTTTGTTGTTTTTCCCCACTTGCCGGGTGAGGGTTGTTAGGTTTGATCAGAGTTCGTCTCCTCCTCCTCCTCCTGTCCTGCTCCTCCTGCGCGGTTCAACAGGTGCCAGTGGCCATCGAACTGGGTGGAGCACCCTGCTACGGTGGACGAGCAACTTGGTGAAGTGGAAGGGTGCGTCAGAAAGGTTCTGGTCATGTAGACTCTTGATTAATAAACCATCCCATTTGGATGTAAAACTTATGTTTTGCTGTTTGATAACTATAATGTCGACGCCGGATTAACACCCCCAGCCTCTCAAGCCTTACTATTAGGGGTGAAAGTTTGATTATTTGTTTAAGCCTGGGGTAGTGAATCAGAGAGGTCTGCCCAAAGACTAAATTAAATCTTGCCATCAATTTTCAAGTCTTGGACCTATTGCTAAATTACAGTGAAATTCACTTTCCCAAACCAACTCCAAAGAATCCCTTTGGTGCTCCTGGCTCATGGTTAGCTCATGCCTTTGGCATTGTCACACGGTGAAACTCATTGGCCCAATTGGTGGATTTGTGGAGCGTTTGCTGACACATCAGCACTCTTCTGGGTCATTTTCTCCATGGCATGGTCAAGGCACTCTGCAATGTCGTTTGTTTTCACTGAAGCCAGTCAATTGCGTGGCCGCAGTCTATCCCCGCCACAAGCCTCCCCATGATTCTATTTACAACCACCCAACTAATTCCCAGACACTCCATGTATGACATATATGCCTACATTGGGATGGTTTTGGGGGTCAATGTAGGCATATATGGCATACATGGAGTGTCTGGGATTTGGTTCCCCCTTGCACGGTAAGAACAATATCACCCACCCAAAGGATGAGGGATGAGCGAAAGGAAAAGAGTGTTGGAATTGAGTTGGAAAAGGGTCCTTTTAATTTGCAGGAAAGGCCTCTAGGATGAGGATCATGGTGGAGTTCAAGGTGAATTTTCAGAAGGGCAGGTTCGAGGCGCTGGGTTTAGTATTGCAAAACATTTTTGGCACCAAGAAATGTATGTTCATTTTAGAAACACTTGGGCTAGAAGGTCGTTTACTATTGCATGCCCGAGGCGGGCCAAACTAGTTGGGTTCGTTTGTCTGTCTAAATGAATGAATCGCATTATATATTTGCTTCGACGTGTGCCCATCTTCGATCGAGACCATCGCTTTCAGGTGATGTTTATAGCAAATGATTGGCAAACAGGAGAGGCAAGACGTGAGCAAAAAGCAGCAGAATAGATCGCATGTCTATGAAACTCATGCAGTGAGACACTGTGTCCCTGGTGTATTGAGCAAAGGAATCTGAAAGGCTTGCAAAACATAGAGATTGATTCAACGCATATCGCCGAATCCAAGCCAGGCTTTTGAACCATGCATATACGTGTGCAAGTTCAAGTGAAAACAATACAACAAAAAATCTGTGAGTCATAATATGTGTTAAACACATTATCTCAAAGTGCTGCGCAGAAAGACGGTGCTGAATGGCCCCGGTCCGCTTCGACAGCCGTTTCCGCAGCTTTCGCTGCAAACCACGAGAATCGCAGACTTGATGTTTCCCAGACACTCCATGTATGGTATATATATATATGCTTACATTGAGCCCATTCCAGCCATACCGTCCCATGGAGTCTTTGGGTTTTGGGGGAAGCGGAGGACTGCTGCCAGTCTACATGGTCGCTGGCTGAGCCGAATCGTGTCCAAATTGGGGGTTTTGATGTGGTGTATAGTTGCAAAGCTGGAAGCAAAGTTGCACCGCAAGCAGAACCCTAGGGCTCCAACCACCTCCGTTTCGAAGGTGGTTGGGGTAGGTTTGGGGGGTCTAACCACCTTCTGAGGATATAGTTGGAGCCCTAGGGTAATGCAACTGTTATTTGTGTTTTTGCTAGTCGCTTCCAACCGAAACCGGCCTTGCTCAAGGGTGTGTTAACATCGTGTGATGTTCCGAGTAAGATGTTTACTCCACCACAACTGCAGCGGAAAGAAACATGTTCCTAAAAGCGATGCACTTGTTACTAGTGTTTTCCACAAAATACTCATTCTTGCTCATTGCCATACTTCTTAGCTCATTCCACAATCCAACTCATGTTTGTGTATAGGCATCGTCACTTCCGAAGAAATCAACGAAGTGCGCCCTCTGCGCCCTCTCCGGTTGCGCGACTCTCGACTCTCCGAGCGCTCTCCGACTCCTGCACCAGGTGCATAGGCATCGTGCCTTCGGGAACTACAACCATGCACGCTGCATGTATGTGGCGTTCTAAGACCGAAACAAAACTGAGACAGAGCAGACAAACTCTACAAGCAAAGGTGGCCAAATCAGACCAAACCCAAACTGGGCCACCTTGTTGTCGCTGTTCTCTCTCAGACTTCGCGTCATGTTTTCGATCCTTTAAGGTGATCCACAATTTGGGCTACCAGGGATGCTACCCTTTGCGATTAGGTTTGCCTGGCACCTTGCGCGAGACCGAGCACGCAAGGAAAAAAGCGAGAAAAAGGAAGAAGTGCGAAAGTCCAAGTGTGTGTTTTTCTTGTTGCATTTGCTAAATCAGTTGGTGCTTCAGGCAATATGACAATTTTGCGCAGCTTGGCCTTCCTTTTGCCGCCTTGGGAGACTTGCTCTACCAATATCCTTTGCATGAAAGAACCTTTGAAGGTGACTCAGGACCGAACCGAACGACCCGCTACCGAACCGACACCGAACCGACACCGGACCTGACCGGACCTACAACCACTCCCCGCTACCGAACGTCACGTCGTCGCGTGTGCGTCGGGACACGTCGTGGGTCAGGAGAGACCCTGAATCTCACCAAGGCGCCGGCTTCCGACGGTGAGTGGCCCGGGGAAAGCGGGACCTAGAGCAGAACAAGAGTTTACTTAACAGCTGAATCACCGCAGCTAACTACAGCTGCTAAGTATTAACATAGACTTCTGAAAGATCTTACAAAGATGGATTTCTGAGGTTTGTCCGTTCGTACCTGTAGAGCCGTCAGGTTTCACCATCAAATCATACGTTTTGATCTGTCGGCCTGGAACCTGACCTGGGCCCAGTGGATGACTGGGACCAGGTAGACAAACTGGAGCTCGTCGCCCTGTCGCCCTGTCGCCGTCGCAGGGAGCGATCCAGTGCTGTGACCGCATCGTTACAGTGCCGCCGAGCTCAGAAACCGGGAGAAACCGTCCTCGGTAGGAAGGGGATGCGCTAGGCTTCGCGACTGCTACAGACTGCTACATACTGCTATACGTGCTTCGAGGCGAAACTGGGTCGAATTCCTTCGTTCGCTCTCCAACGGATCGCGATGGCCTCCTTACTAGTATAGGTAGACTAGTATGCTAGACTTGGCTTGTCTATTTGTCCTGCTGCCCTGGTATATACGCGCCTCTCAGGTCCCCAACATATGCAGATGAGATCCGAACGCTTGAGGTGCTGCAACCAAGTGGCAGAGACAACACGGACAGCGTTTGAAAGCCTTTGAAACGCGTTGAACAAGTCGAAGTTTCTTGTTGAGAAGCTGAACCGGGTGCATGTTGACTTCCCCGCGCAGGGTGGCTTTCGTTTGCATGATTTTGCCACGGGGCCTAGCTTGCCCAGCGGCGTTTTGCGCGCACCTTTCTTTGACGTGCCCAGATCAAGAAGAAGGAGCCCAAACCTTCTTTTCACAGAGGTGTTTGCATTCTTGCATGTACATCGTGACATGTGCGTGATACAGTTTTAATTATGTTGGGTCTTTCCTATTACCTGCAACAGTCAGTAAACAATTACCGCTGTTTTGACCATTTACATCCACTGCTACAGGTATATAATAGGATAGACCCAACAGTTATATATGTTCTTTTTGCGGTACATCATTTGTTGGCGAGAATTCGCGTCTTGCGTCGTAGTTGAGGTTGCAACCAAGAGCTACTTCTTGGTGGGAATTCTCAACGGTGCTTTGGTCTCAATCTGATTCAGTCAGACCAGACAGATCTTTTTACCTAAGCAGAAGAAAGTCTCTTGGTTTATTCTTAGCATCAGTTTGTCCAAAGTTTACTTTTCATTCTTCAATTTTATCACCGACGTCCTCCTCCGCTCCTTTGCCGGACCGTAGTGGGCACATACCAGGACCGAAGTCGGACCATATGCCACAGCACATGTCAGACTTCACGGCAGGGACAATGTCAGAATACAGTCAAGAACATTTCCCAGCCGGAGATGATTGTGTCAGAGCACACACTTGATGGGAGAACAGGCGTCAGAACATTGTAACAATCCGCATGTCCGGCTTTGCTCCATCAGCGCAACTGCGCCAGTCTTTCTTCCGAGTGTAAGGAAGGGGGAGTCCTTGTGGCAAGGCCCACCGCCAAATCCCCAGTTGACCTCCGACTTCGGACCAGGTCGGACCTCAAAGGTCGTCCAGCAGAACTGTGGCCCACTAGAATGCTAAATGTCTTATGAAGGAGGTCACCGGGAGGACCTTCAAAGTGACCTCTTTGGAGTCTCTAAGTGACCTTTTACTGGCCTAAGTGACCTCATCCTGGGAGGTATATATTTAAAAAACAACATCTTTTGGGAAGATGATGACATGAGCCATTCTATGCTGGACATGTTCACACCGGGCTTGCCCTCACACCGGCCTGACAGCGACCTGAAGGAAAGACATCGCCGACGGTCAAACTGCAATTTGTTGTTGGCTGGGCGTCCCAAAGGCTCCATTCGCAGAAGGCTTACAATATTTCCTGTGAAGGCAGGTTTCGAGCAGTCACGCATAGCTTGACTCCAGGCAGTATAAGCACACACTCCTGTTCCCCTGACAGGAAGGCGGCCGGCGTGTTAATCCGACAGGTAGATTGCTCTGCCTGCATGAAAGGAGTGTGCCATTCAGCTAAACCTGCATGGTTGGCCTTTGCTGTTCACCCCTCGCAAGACCTCAACCTGAAAGCCTTTTGGCAGACAAAAGGCATTGTTCAAACGTTTGCATTTAGGATGGTTAATGAGGCCTACGGCCTATATGACATGCACATTGCTTGAGGCACAGTTCACACTGACTGCCAGTGACGAAATAGTGCAGGTCATTACATCTGCCACGTTTCTTGAATGGATGTACAGACAGCGCCGCCTTTCCCCGAAAAAATTGACAACATCCACCGAAGTGCCCTGTCTTTCTGGTGATGGGAAGGCCTTCCTTCTCTATCGAGATCATTGACAATTTTCTTCGACCCGAGTCACTTCGGCCATTTTCAACCCTGAACTCCGCAAGGATGCAGTGGAGATGTCCCATTGGTGCAATCATGATCCCCCAGCCCAACCATCGAATCCTTGGATCAGCTCAACCCAGCAATGTGCGACGCTCAGCTGCGCCACAGCAGGCGACGCTGACGTCGCAAAGGGGGTCACTCCAGCAGGTCGCAGGTTTGCGCCGCCACCACGCCGTGAACGCACAAGAACAATCATAAAGCGTGACCGAGAAGAACATCTGAGATCAATCAAGGACATTAAGAAAAACCATGACAAGACCGCCGAAGAAGCCACAAACTCACCAAACATCTTGTAAAGTTGCAGATGGTACCGGTACACCAAAGAGATCCGTTTTGGCACTGGTGTCTACGCCCGCGCAGTACGTCTCCACGCGACGTCTCGACGACGTCTCGATGAGAGAGTCGCCAGGTCGGTGAGCGAAAAGTGCTTCATCCCGATGGAGCGACATGTGGTTTTTGCAACAAGTCAAGACATCGGTTTTCTTGAATTCATATGTTTTTTTAGTTTTCAGAATTCAGATCCGTTTTGTTTTGTCTGCAACGTCCGTGCCAAGAAACGTGTTGAAACGTGCTTTTGTTTCGGATCCATGAATGTTGTCGTTTATCCCATGTAGCAAGCGTTCTTGGTGCTATGGGTTGGTTGGTGGCACCAGCATCTATAGTTTAGACGGCTTCCTACCTGCTTTCATGTCAGATTCCTCGGACATTCTCGGCCTCTCTTGGGAATTATTGTTTTTGTTGCGATCTGTATTGCAAGGAACAAGTTAAGACCATTTCTTACACAATTATTGGTCGCCCTTGAAATAGCTAGATGTAATATAATGTTTGGAATCGGAACGCGAATTTGGCAAGTTTTCCCAAGAAAGGCCACTGGCCGAATGGAGGCATTGATGCGAGCTGGGCGCCCGAAAAGGACAAAACCATTGCCGAGACATTCTCTGCCGAAGACTTGTCGGAGACTTATAGATGAGACGGAGAAGAATGGCGTTGGATGCAAACACTGGAAACAATTGCGGCATCTATCAGGAGAGGTTCTTGTAAGTGAGTCAAAGGGAAAGAATAAAGACCCCCTGCAACAGGTCTGAGTTCATTTTCGACGCCAATGTTAAAGCCAGTTCTGCGAACTGATGTTGTTTTCCAGCCCTGACAAGCTACAAAGCCTGCCATATGGCTTATATAGGCTACACGGCTACACGAGGTGTTTTGTTTGTGTTTTGTTGAAGCAGTCTTAAGACGAATTCCTTAATCAGATTCGGATACTCGGCATTCAAGCTGCTGGCTTTTGGGAAACCATGACAACAATGACCTTTATATACGGGTTTCAATATCAAGATGATCAAGTCTTCTGATTACGTCCTTTGGCAAGCCTAGTAAACGGTGAAACATGTGCGACGACTGGACAGATTCAGTCGATACATGTCGAAGCATCGGTCGTTGCTTCTTGGCAAGCGCGGTACGGTAGTAGGTATGGTACCCAAACACTCCATGTATGGCATATTTGCCTACATTGACCTCTGAAACCACCCCAATGTAGGCATATATGGCATACATGGAGTGTCTGGGGTACATTGTTGCGCATGCTTCGGGTCAGAGGCAGTGCATATAGTTGTCGGGAGCACGAGAAACAACACCTGGTAGCGCGCAGTGTCTACCATGTTTTCACGTCCTATCACGCCTCACGCATGCATCCTTTCCTGAGCGCCCGTCTTCTCGCTCAGGTCCGGCAAGAGGCTTTGCAAACGGCATTTGCAGCGGAAGTTGGGCTTGAAAGAAGACGACGACGCTTGCATTTTGAGCTTCGTGGGGCGGCTGACCTCACAGAAAGGTGGGGACGAAAACCGTCACGGATGTCGCGGTCAGGTCCATGAAAATCCATCACAAAACCGTCACATCCACCGCGTATCGGCCTGGAATTACCACACCCCTCCGTAGACGGTATACATTGCACCTGATGATTTATACTTGTTTTTTCAATCATAATTCCTTTGCGTGTTTTGTTTGCTGCGGCCACGCAATCTATCGCATGGCACTTTGGCAATCGCGAGCGATTCTGCGCGATGGCTCCGTACAAACAGTTGCAATCGACAGGTTGACCGGTTGCATCGTTTACAAATGATATACACTCTCGAAAACCAACATAGACTTGACAATGGCGGCCTCCTGTTGTTTTCCTCTACCAACCAGTGGTTTTCAGGGTCCATGTTAGTCTTGCAGGGTGTAACTGATCAAAATGCCTGTCATCACTATAGTATAGACACCATTGATATCCTTTGATTGTATCACGCAACTTGTTCCTATCTGAAGCGGGAATGAACCAGACTAACATTTGAGAGGATAAACCTATCGCGTTGAAGTACTTGTGGTTTGAAACTTTGCTCGCTCTCCCTTTGTGCGAGTCATCCGAGCTGAATTTTGAAGTCGATATGGCGGTTCGCATGGCCCCATTTTTCAACCCCGGGTTTGCCATTGGTCGTCGCCAGCCCTGGGAAGGCAAAGGCTCTTTTGTTCGGGCTTCAGTTTGTCGCACCTTTTTGTGTGCAGCAAACTGCGCGTTCTCATATCCCAGACACTCCAAGTACGGCAAGCAATCACATACATTGGGGTGATTGGGGTGGTGGGGTCAATGTAGGCATATATACATGGAGTGTTTGGGTATTGGGAAAGCTCGTTTGTGATCGGTTGGTCCGCAGGCATTGACCTGATTGGCTCCTGCGTTCATTGGATTATGGAGGTGGGGACTTGGGAACAGACACTCACACGGAAGACTGGCAAAGGAAAGAACAGTCCTGGGAGTCGCATGGAGGGCCTGGGTGGTGTAACTCGTTTGATTGCACCCAACTCCATGTGACTGGCCCGAAGTGTTTGCCGATGCGTTGACATTCCACCGCGCATGTGGGCCGCAAGGACCACAAAGACGGCCTGAGCAACGCAGTCGACCCAGAGCGTGGCTTGAGAAAGCAACACTGAACCCAGAGACTGTGTGGTCACGTTCCGCGCCTTAAAACACATGTACCATCATCATTGTTCAGCCTTTTCTATAAACTAACCCATAGGTACCCCGACTTAACCTTTGTTGGTGTTGTGCGCAACGGTGTCAATCTTTCAACATGAGCTTGGCACTGTAACAGGTCCAATTGGTGATGATGGGCAATGGCGAGGAAGACTTCGGCGAAGGGCTTACAGCCGACGAGGGCCCAAACGTCACCGCAAAACTCGCAGAACCCAACGAGCACAGAGCAACCAGACTGTTTGTTGTCAAGTTGAGGTGAAAGTAGCGCGTGTTGCACAAGGCATATTCATCATATATTCACATCTTCCCACCTCACATCCCTTTGCGATCAAGACTAGGGCCCGGAATTGCCACTCAGATGAGTCCAGACTTCTTAGTGAATCTAGTGGAAACGAACGAACAGGTGTCTCAAAGCAAACGGCAAACCATGCAATTGACAAACACAATGAAAAGGAAAAAACAAGTGCATCCGATATCTGAATTATACATTTTGGCCGTGCAGAGCCGCCGGCTTTGCCAGAAAGTTTCTAACAGGATTGCAACCACACTCCGTCACTCCGCACTGAAAGGAAGGAATGCGCATCCGTGTGCTGCGCCGCGCCAGAAGCATTGGCGATAGGTGAGTTCGAGCTACAATATGAACACACTCTTGTAAGGATGCAGGCAAAACAGCCTGGTGTTGCAGTACCGCGCCACAGCGACCACTGTCGATTGCAGTACCACGACCGATAAAAGAATGTCGAGACCGATGGAGTCATTGAATGTCAATACAGTGTGTGTGTGTGTGTTTTTCTTTGTTTGACATGTTATAGATAGGGTTGATATAGATACATATATAACACAGAAGCCTGCTTCATGTTCGAGAGTAAGACCAAAGCCATCATTCAATAGTTAACGCAGACAAGTCGATCAGACACGCTTCGAGAGGGATGCACCCTACTGCACAGCAGCAGCTGCAAGAGTGCCGGAAAACGCAAACACTTTTTTGACAACTGTAGACCTTGGCTGGTGAATGGTATTTGTTTTCTCCAAGCAAACTACCAGCCCAAACTATCTCCGTTTGTATATACAAGACTCTTCCGGAAGTTCCACATGGTTGCCGCAATTTCTTGCTAATCTGTCGCCCTGCATAACAAACTCCCTTACAGACATTGCAGGTCTTCCGCGTGCCACCATACATGGTATGAGTATAATGCACCCCGCGGACACCACTCATCCCATCACATGGGATTTGCACCAGAACCTCCAGATCACTCAAACTTTTGTCTTTGGGCAACTTTGTGCCACAACGCAAACAGCACAAACCCTTGACTGAGGATTCCCACTCATGGCCTCCAGCAGGATTATTTCTTAGAGACAGCAGGAAAGCATCCTTGGTGCATCTAGACTCACTTTGCTTCGGAAGTTTACAGGTACTCTGCTGACGCAACCAAAATTGCACCCGAGGCAACAACCACTTGTTTAAGCGCCAAGCTCGTCCTAAAATGAAAGCGTTAGCCTTATCCTTTCCATACGGGGCAAAGGCCACTGCTGCTTCCCCAGCAAGGGAATCTGCAGCAGCATTAGCATGCCAGGACCAAGCCGGACGACCCAAGTCAATGTGATCTTGGAGACTCATGTGTGATTTGACCTTAACACAGCTCCACAGAGCGACGATCCAACCGTCTAAGTCTCATTTTCAGATCTCCATTAGGGTTACCAACATGCATATTGTGTGAGACCTTTTGCCAAGTAGTTTGCACATAAGACGCATCAAAGGCAACTTGGACAGGCCCATCATGCCAAGACAAGGCTTCCAATGCCCTCACCAGAGCCATAAGTTCAGCTCGAGGGACAGTATTGCAAGTTTCATCACTGTCAGCTAAAGCACCAGACATGGTACCAATCACAACAAACTCATCGCCATCAATGCGAACAGCAACCACAGCCCACGCAGACTTCCGAAGACGGGGGTCATCACTCAGTTCCCAGGAGGATTGTGGCGCCTGATTCAACATTATGGTCATGAAAAATGCCAACAACAACCAAACCCTCAACGGCAATAGGAGGGGCAATAGTCCAATGGCGGGGAACCAGCCATCGGCACCAAAAATGCTCCATTCCAAGTTGACCCAAACACGGCGCCCATACAGCAGGAACCTCCCCATGCTTCTTAATGCAGCCAGGGCATTCATAGAACATATGATGCCAAGTGCGTTCTTGAGTGGGACAAAAGGGGCACCACTGCAACTGGGAATTTTTCGAACAACACAGACTACCCTGCCACAAAACTTGAAGAAGCGTCGCCTCAGTAACAGAAGTCTTACTCAACAAGCTCTGGTGAATGGTAAGGTGAAAAATCTGAGAATCAGTATGGTGAGGTGAGGCAGAAACCATATCAGGAACTCGACAGCCTTTTCAATGGACTGCCACTGTTACCAGTCAGGCAGTCAGGTAGTTCTTCTTGTGGATAGCGGATTTGAAAGATTCTGGTGCCTGTGCAAGTGGCTGAAACACGCACACACACACACATACACACACACACTAACACTCTCACCCACGCTTGCACATACGCCCGCGCGCACGCACGTCAGAAAGTATGTGCCCATACATACAGCAAAAAGAAAATCAGGTTTAACAAAGCACTGGCAAGAAGTCACAAAGCTGCAAGTGCATGGAATCATTTGGAACCTATATTAGGTTGGAGGCCATCGCTCTTGGCTTGGAGCCCACCGCTATTAGGTTCCTTAAAGTGTTTCTTAAAGTTTTTGTCTACTGTAAGTCTATAAGGATATAGTAGTATATACCCAGACGCTCCATGTGAGCCATATATGCCTACATTGATCCCTCAAACCACCCCAACTGATCGGCATATATACCAGTCCCATGGAGCGTCTGGGTAATTGGCATATATATTAATACTTTGTTGTTTGCTTGCCCTTCTTAGTGTTGTTCCTTTGTTGCCCTTCTTAGTCTTTCTTAGTGTTAACACCCCTTAGAGGGTGCTGGTATATATTATATTATTCTTTTCGGTTGGGCCAGGGGTGTTTTCGCGACGCAGTTCTCAGCACACCTTCGCCTACGTGCAAGGTTCGCCTATAGCTAGCCCGAACGCGTTCGCGTTCGCTTCCGAGGTCATATGCTTCGTTGGGCTGAAACCACTTGGAAGGCGCACCACTTGCAACCCGGACTGCGTGCTGAGTGCGTCATGTTACATGTCGATATATTTCGTTTGGTCTCAGGGCCGAGTCTGCGGCTATTGGGGCTTCAGCCCACAAATCGAAAAAGAGATCATTGCTGGGTCGGACTTCTTTCTGATGCCCTCCAGGCCGGGCGCGTCGGCAACTATTCCACAGCTGAGATTCGGTGAGTAATTACATGACCCTTTGGTGTCAGCCAGTCACCGGGGTCCCATCTATAATGTAGGGGGTTATGAATAAATGACTTAGTTAAAATAAGGCGTCAAAACTCAAATCTTAGTACAACAAGTTGCTGTTTTTCCCCCCGCAGCTGTGTGCAGATACGAGCCCTGTGGGATCCCGCAGATGTGCATCTCGTTCGAAGTTGGCGTTGACGGTGTGTGGATTGAAAACACCTTTTCCAAGCAAAGCAATCAGGTAGTCACCCCTTCGCTTTTCAAAACAATATTCAGAATTGGACTGGATGATTTTTTTAAAACTATGCGTAGACGTCGAACAGTTGCAGACAAGTGCTGTACGGAGCTGAGGTGCAATGTTGTATGGGACCATACCGATTGTCCACGCGACAGGAGGTCTCAAGGACTCTGTGAAGAGTTGCTCGGCCAGGGCTTGACGACGCTCAAGGGCTTACGGCTTACCGCGATATGGCCGACCAAGCAACAGATTCATGTGATGCCTTCTATTTTCTATGAGTTCGCGTAGTACGCGATATACAGCCATCACCGCTTGGTCCAAGGTGTTTGCGAGTGTTTAAAGTGGCACTGTACTGTGGCAATGTATGGCATGCGGCATGTTTGTTTTTTTCTTTAATCGACCTGACAACTGCCCCGAGGTTGGTACACAGAACCTGACACTTCCACAGGCGCTTGATCTTTGGATTCGACATGCTGACAAACACACACAACAATAATTTTCCCCAAGAATCTAGGAATCAAATGATTAAGGCGGCGGCAGGGGAGAGCTTCCTTGAAGAAGCGTGAGCTACCCTGCATCCAGTAGCTAGTAGCATCTTACTGTAATAGCTACAGCATGCTACAGCTATACCATGCTATACCTCTTATCCTCGGCCTACCTCCGCTGGCCTTTCGGGACCAGGCTTTCACATTTGGCCCTTGAACGAAGACAGCCCTTCGGCCGATTCAGAGACGGGACGGGACCAGTCGAAGCGGTCGTCATGGTGGGTGATTACGTGACGTGACTGACTGGTCGAAGCGATTCTGAGGCTTCAAGAAGGCAGGGATCTTAGCAGAAGCTTCAAGAACCAGATCAAGTCAACACTTAAAGCATCTTAAACATGGTACAATTCAGTGAAACTGGTACTGCCACACTGGTCTGTTTGAGAGCGAGGTGATCTTTGATGGCCTCCACTTGTTCTTCCGGGAACCTGAGGAGGGATGGAATAGTTATCGAATGTGTTGAAATGTGTTATCGTTCATCCGCTTTGTGTCAAAAACGATATGTTTTCAATGTTCTTTCGAATTCAGGAATTCAACCAGATGCGACGGAGGGCCATGGCACAGGACGGGTTTTTGTTGCAGCGTGATGTAGCTCTCGCGACATCGGGACATGGTGACGACATCGGCCGCCTGACTCGCACCTCGCGCTGCCATTGACTCAGCTGTTCGCACTCGGCTGCCAGTGGGTCAAGATCGGCTCTGTTCGGCTCTGTGCTGATTGAAAATGGAGCAAAAAATGGTAGGAGAAGGTTACCCTAGGGCTCCAAGGACCGTCTTAGAAGGTGTTTGGGGTGGGTTTAGAGTCACCTTCTAAGGAGGTACTTGGAGCCCTAGGGTATTGAACTAATAGTGATGGCCAGCCTCCAACATCCTCCAACCATCTCCAATAGTGATGGCTGGCCTCCAACCTGCACCGGCGGCTAGGACTTCAGTTGGTCTCGAGCCATTGACGACTATGAGCGGCACTTCGATTGGACCATCGCGGTACGCCATGCTGTGCTGTGTGGAACAGTCTATAGTTCTGCTTCTTTTGCCTTGGATGATGAATTTTTCTATTTCTTCTATATTGCATCTCCGTTTGCAGCTAGTCGCAGCAAGTCCTGTTTGCAGCAAGTCTTGATGGTTTTGCATCTCCATTTGCAGCAAGTCCCGCGAGGATCCACCGTTTTGGGGAAGGCCTTGAGCGTCGTCTTCTCTCCCTCCGCGTCGCATCGCGTTGCGTTCGACCGGCGTCGTCAGACGCAGAGTCGTGACGATGCGCCGCACGGCTGGCCGACGTGAATTCAGCTGGTGCCTTGCTGCGGGTGGTGCGGACGTGCGCCCAGTACACTCAAGGTTAAGCCATGTCATGTATCTCAAATGTCGCACTAACGGACCTCTGACGTGAAAGTATAGCTTTAAAGAGGCTTTTGTTTTTGCAAGCCGAACTTGAGACACTGTTGACGGAATGCAAGTTGTAAGAAGAACCGCTTGACGGCTGCCCGCTTGCGTTGCACCTGGTGTGCATGGCTTTTGAGAACCCCGTGGGTTAGTTCACGAGAATGGTTCTCGGTTCGATCATGTTCGATCTCTATTTTCCAGTTCCAGTGGCCAACGTGGTCACCCGGCGCTCGGGGAGCAGATGATCCGCTTATCGCCGGATTCAGCTGCTACCATAGGTAGCAGCTCTTTGCTTTTGAGCTGCTGCATGGAGTTAGTTCGCCATTGCAGCGCTTCGGACGTCATGAAAGGTCCAAAAAAGAGCAACTGAGCGAAAAGCATAATTTCACTTGGAACTCGTAGAATGCACCGAAAAAATTGCGAAAAACCTTTTAGAACCTCAACGCATAGGCTCACGCGTCGCTCGGTGTTCTTCCGCCTAGGCTCCTTCGCTGGCGCTCGTGACTCGCGTCGGTGGCGCTCCCGCACTGTCGCGAAGGACACGTCGTGAAGGACAGAGACGACGACGGGACACGGCGCGGGCCGGTCGGGCGCGCGAAAACCGGCGCGTGCGATGTGATCGGTATATAATCCGATATAATCGAGTTTATAAGCATTGTATACCAGGAGCTTCAAAGTGACCTTTTGAGATCCTAGAATATGGTCACTTAGTCCTTAAAGAGGTCACTTAGAGACTCCAAAGAGGTCACTTTGAAGGTCCTGGTAAATGTCGCCACTATTCGCCACTCATATATAACTATGTCAACAGGCGACCGTGCAGGGACATTAAGGCCCGAGGTGGGAAAAAGGCTGCGCGGTGCGCAGCGCATGGGGCTACCGACATTGGTAGCGGAGCGGTAATAGACCGTCTCCTGTAGGTTTTTGTGGCGCGCTGGAAGCGTGCTGACCTCGCGACCGTGCAATGGAAGCTGGCACCTCTTTGCGCTATTTTAGTGGCGAAGACTGCGACCATAGAGAGTACAGAAGATGGAAACAATGGGCTTTGAACAAGATACGCACCATGGACAAGCTTCCTGACGAAGCCAGAGGCTCGTTCCTGTGGACGCTTCTGACCGGCCGTGCTCTGGAGGTGGTTGAGCATTTGAAGGAAAGTGACTACCAAGTCAAGGGCGGCGAGAAGACCATCCTCGACCTCCTTGACAGGAGATGGCCAGAGCTCGATCGCACAGACGAGATCGGCGAGAACATCGCCGATGTGTTTGCTCTCAAAGCCCGGGAAGGTGAGAGCATCCGACAGTGGTGCGCCCGCTCTCGGGAATGCTTCGACAAGTGTGCCCGCAAGACGGGCGTCAAGTTCCCAGAAGAGGCCCGTGGCTGGATCCTGCTCAATTGCAGCGGGATGAACGAGGAACAACGTGCCGTCTGTTTGGCAAGAGCCCAAGGTGAGCTGAAGTTCGACACACTCTCGCAGTCGATGCGGTCGTGCTTTCCGGAATACACCGTTCCGAAGAGACGAACCGCTGCAGCGCATGTCGTCGAAGACCAGCCCTCCAGTTCAGCTCATGAAGAACAGCGTGAAGACAACTTCCAGGACGTGGAGCTGTTCCTTGCTGAGCATGGGATGCACGATTCAGCTGACCTGGAGGACCCAGCTGAAGACGAAGGATATGATGAAGAGGCTGTCGCCGAGATTCTGGCCGCCACCTGGCGGGAGAAGCGAGCTGAGCTGAACATGGTCCAGAAGGGCCGGAAGTTTTCTGCTCCTGATCCTCGGCGAGCTGGTGGAACTGGAAAGGACTTCAAGCGTTCGTTCCGTGTCCAGGTTGAAGAGCTCAAACAACGTACACGCTGCCGTCGCTGTGGCAAGATTGGACACTGGCAGAGGGAATGCAAAGCCCCAGCCTCTGCAACCATTGGATCAGCGGCTTCTCAAACGAGTCACGCTGCTGGAGCCGTACAAGTTGTGGGGACTGAGCTGCCCGAGCATTTCATATGCACTGCTGCAGCCTGTCCTGAGACAGAAGTGTTGTTGGTGAGCAGCCCTGGTTTCGCAGTGTTGGACAGTGGATGTGGGAAGACCATTATTGGCCGTTCCACACTGGCGGCCTTTCAAGAGATCTGGCGCCGGCATGGAGTTCCACAGCCTGCGGAAAAGCCGGAACAGAACTGTTTTCGTTTTGGAAATGGTGAACAAGAAGTCAGCCAGACCATCGTGGATCTTCCAGTATTTTTGGCTGGACGTCCTGGCTATGTGAAAGCCGCCGTGGTGAAAGGGAAGGCACCTTTGCTTCTGTCGAGACCAGCTTTGCAAAAGCTGCAGGCCCGCTTAGACTTCGACCGAGATCGTTTGACCTTGTTCGAAGGTCAGTTCGAAGTGCCTCTGGAAGTGAACAGCGCCGGCCAGTACACGATTCCTGTCACGGCATTTCCACCGAATGCTCAAGCCCTGTTTCCTGCGGCGCCCATGGTTGAGCCGACTTCGAATGAGTGCCACTCGGTTCAATATGATAGAAACCCCAAGAGATTGAAGGATTTCTGGGAATTTAGGCCGCAGGATAGGACTGTCATTCGGCATCACGTCAAGCCAAGGACCACCCTGTTCACCCCAAAGAATACACAGTGTCCAGTTCCGATTGATCAGCTACAGCCTGACCGCACTACTAAGCTAGATAAGCCAGCTGACGTCCTCAGGGACCATCGTGATTCGTGGGTTGAGCCTCACTGTGCACACTCCAAGCATGACAGTCGCCCGTGGACGGGTAAGACTGTGTTTCGCCTGTTGACCCACGCTGCCGTTCCTCGACTGCCCGATGCCCAGGAAGAGCAACTCAATATCATGCATTGGAAGGCCAAGCAGCACCGTCAGCTGATGGCACAAGTGACCGCGCCGTCCAAACAAACCGAACAGTTGTACGATGTGATCGAAGTGTTTTCTCCTCCTAGGTTCGGTCTCGAAGGGGCAAAGTCCGGGTTGCGGGTTCTGTCCGCCGACCTGTGCACAGGCTGGGACTTCCGACGCCGAGCTGATCGTGAACAGCTCAAGCATCATGTCCAGGTCAGTAAGCCGAAGCTCCTTGTGTGTTGTCCACCATGTACATGGGCAGGGGGATGGTGGCATTTGAATAAACAGAACATGACGGACAGTGAAGTTAGGGAACGTGAAACGTGGACCAACCTGTTCATTCGCTTTTGCTGTGAGTTGATGGAATTGCAAAGCCAATTGGGTGGTCAATGTTTGTTCGAACATCCAAGAGATTCAATAGCATGGCGTATGCCCTCCATGGAACGCCTGGCCAAGAACATGTACTGTGTGAGTGTTGACATGTGTTGCTACGGCCTCCGCATTCCAGGTGGCGCCTTGATCCACAAGGCCACTCGACTGATGGTATCTCATCCGGAGATGCGAGCCCTAGCGAAGTGCTGTCCAGGTCCGTCACATGCCAACCACAGTCATCATCAGGTCATTGCTGGAAGCCATCCAAGGGTAGGGTCAATCAGTAAGCATGCCGCTCAGTACACTCCAGCCTTTGTCAAGGCAGTGTTAAGATTAGTAAAAGGCCTGCCGTCTACCGAAACACTCGTCGTTCTCCATGATCACAACCAAGAATGCCTTGTTGCACACACCCTCCATGAACTGAATCAAGAACCCCAGGAAAAGATCATGTCCAGTCTCCGCCGGTTGCACAATAACTTAGGTCATCCAACTAACCAACAGTTGGTAGGGGTCCTGAAGCATGGTGGTGCATCCGACGCGGCCTTGACAGCAGCACGCGATTTCCACTGCGATCATTGTGCAGCCCAGAGGAGTCCCAAGGTAGCCCTTCCTGCACAAGTCCACCGAGTCGTAGAATTCAACGCAGTAGTTGGGGTTGATGTCAAATATCTCATGGGGTGGAGTCAGGGTCAAAGAATTCCAGCAGTAAACATGGTTGATTACGGGAGCTCACTGCAAATCGTGGTCCCCATATTCCGAAGAGAAAATGCTACTACCTTGAAGCAGGTGTTCATGGAAAGATGGGCCTCATGGGCAGGCATGCCATCCGAGATCATTTGTGATCCGCACCGTGCCAACATCGCAGATGCTTTTTCGTCCATCCTTGAACAGGGCGGCGCCACGTTTAAGCTGACTGCGGCCGACGCCCATTGGCAGTTAGGTAAGTGTGAAGTGCACGGGGGTTGGTTTGGCAGGATTCTAGATAAGATTCTGTCAGAACACGTGCCGAAAAATCAAGATGAATGGTTGGAATGTGTCAATGCCGCTCATTGCAAAAACCAGTTGATACAGGTGTATGGCATGACCCCATCACAGTTCGTGTTCGGCAAGAATCCCAGGGTCCCAGAAAATCTCCTCGATGAACCCCTAGAAATAGTTCCGGCAACAGCTTCTCTGTATGAGGATGCAATTGCTAGGCAGGTGGCCATCCGACAATCAGCCAGAAAGGCAGTGCTCGAACTTCAAGACGACAAGTCACTCCGACTTGCCTTGTCTGCCAGACCTCGAACTGCCCAAGCGCTCCAACCGGGAGCATATGTGGCCTTCTGGCGATCACAGAAGTGGATCCATGGCTCACTTGAGAAGACTGGCCGCTGGTATGGACCGGCGGTGGTGTTGGGTTACGTAGGTAAGAACCTTGTAATCATCCACAAACGCCAGATCTTTCGGTGTGCTCCGGAACAGGTTCGGCCGTCTACCCAAGACGAATTGAAGCTGGTCGAAACACCTCACATGGAGTTTTGGGGATCAAACATTTGATTGAATCAGGGCAACTAGAGAGTAGGCAATACATTGATTTGGTTCCTGAATCGTATCCTAGCTTGCCACAGGCTATTCCTGCAGAGTCTCAAGAGGATGGCTCCAGGTCTGATTCAATCACGGATGGTCCCGGACAGCCTCAATCGGTCGCTGAAAGACTTCGACGATCACCAGTGCCACCAGACGTTATCATGACAGA